GAACGGCCCGCGGCCTCCTGCCGCGGCTGCAGCCCCTAAACCACCTTGTTATCTTATTCCGCCCCCCTTCCTTCTCAGTTTTCCCTGTAGGAATTTTGGGGAGTCACTGATCAAGCTACTTCAAGATAGTCTCAAAGTTATTATTCTAGGTGCTGCCCAAACAATGCGCTGTTCACATTACGCAATTTCATCTAGCTAAAGAACCAAAGCTGGATGACAGGCTTTGACCACGATACACCATAATCGGTACATTTGAAACAAGAATCTTGCCACCCACCTAACCGCCAAGCAAAACAAGACTAAAACTCATCAGTTCGGTGCCCTGGATCTCTCAGCAGTCCCAGTTAAACCAGTCTCTGCAGCAGCGTTCAAGATCCAGCAAGAACCATTGACACAAAGAGAATTGAAAACATGATCCTTACTTCACAATACAATGATTTTTCAACTCATGCTCTATAGAGTAGTATCATTTAGCTGTGCTTGCCTGAAAACATAGACACCTTTGACTAGGTCTAGGTGGTCTATTTAAAGATTCTAGATACAGAATAAATCTTGCAGAAGAAAAATTACATGCAAGACATACAATTTAGCTATTCACTGACATCCAAAACTAACTTTATTCTCTAAGTGTTTCTCTTTCATGCAACATCTACTCTTGCAAAAATACATTTGCTTACATAGTTGTCTAAAAAAAGCAATTTCAAGTTATTAATCAAGCAACTATCTCATCTTTTCAGAAAAAGAAGTACTCAGCTGGTTTTCTATGGTGGCAGGGGCTGTGGGGAGGGCTGACAGCCGTCAGCACGGTGGTGCGGGGTCAGCTGCTGCTCATGGAGGGCCCTCAGGACCCCACTTACCCTGTTGCACAGGCTGGGTGACAGCAGCTACCCCGAGCCGTCCGCACACACAGGGCGTTAGACTGTCACCACTAATGTCTTTTCATACCTGATGTTCTTCTGATACAACAAAAGTAGGACAGTGTGTTGGTGCTGCATCTTATAAGCTGCCTTACTGTCCTAAGCCAGCTGTAGCTAGGAGGGCAGGACTAAGCCCTGCTGATACTTGTGGAAGAACATATCCCAGAAATGAATGCATGTGGCCTACTAAAACACTAAATTTAGAAAGGAAAATACTCAATAATCCACAAAACTGCACTAAACTCCTTTACCCATTTGATCCACAAATTCCAGTAGATGTAGAAGCATATGAAATTATATGACAACAGACTATTAGTACTGTGACTAAGCATAAGAGAATACAGTAGCATGTAGAGATAAACAATATTTTATCCCAAGTTATGCATTCACCCTCATAAAGAAGCTGCGCTTAAAGCTTCTGGCACAAACAAGATAACACCTACTAAAATAAAAAGATGAGAGCTTGAAAGAAATGAATTTTCTCCCAATACAATCTTTCAATAGAAGTCTGTTACATTTCACAAAGCAGGAAATCCTAATCAAGTGTGTTTTATTCCAGCACCAAGTCAATAACATATCAATTAACACCACTTACGCTGCCATGATTGACACTACTCCTGCATTACAAAAACACCAAATTTCAACCGTTGGAGGGCAGCGCCCAAGAGCAGGATGTCTGTTAAGCAACTAGTTCAGAAAAAAATAAATCCCATTTAAGGATGCCTTACACAGGAAAAAAAATAATAAAGTGGTACATAGAGATAACCAAATAATCCAAGTGTAAGCGACGCTTCTAAACATCACTGCACACAATCAAACTGTACAGACAGCAAAAATTAAAAAAAAAAATAGAAACACATTTAATCCTACATGTCCCTCGCTTTAATAACCTCAGCCAAAACAATTGTTTAGTCTGCAGGGTACAAAAGACTTTTAAACTAAGAGCTTGCATGGAAACAGTCCATAAAAGCTGAGTCCCTTGGGATTCTTTTCCCAACACATGAAGCACAGTGGTTTTGCTACATCCTTCCCAAGACACCACCGACTGCTCCACTGCTGTATCCCAACATCACCAGCTGGGAAAAGCCACTGCAACTTGTGAAGTCACACACAATTCTGAAAATAACAGGTAATAAAGCAAGCTAAAAAGTCTGTAAGTGTCAGCCCCTTCATGCTGGCTATACACACCATGCAACTCTGGTGAACATCTCCTGGCCACTGCACCTTCTGCTTTCTCCCTCGGATGCTCTCCAACCCTCCCTGGTCCCCTAGGGTTTTTCATTTGTTTCTCCCTTTGAGGGGAATAATGAAATGCACAGTCTAAACTTACTCTTGGACACTTATTATTAAGGACTCTCATGAAACTGCCACCAGATATGGGAATCCTTGCATAGGAAACATGCCTAGATTTGCGTTTAAAGAATTATATAGAAGAAAAAAAGATTTTGCCTTGGTATAGGGCAAATGTTGATATCAATCCTTTAAATATAACCATACAATCCCAGTTCGGCCTAATTTTGACAATCTTGTCCTTGTACTGTTCCTACTGTTGCGAAAGTTTCCTTCCTATACTCTGCACCACTGGCGTATTCATTAAAGCTCTTCTTTTTCCAGTACATGTTCTCTATCCCCAAGTCACCCTACTTTATTAAAATTAAAAGCTTGACTACAAGCTGTAACAAAAAAGTTAATAGGATGAATTCTTGTAGATGTATTTTAAATACTCATAGCTAATATATAAACAAAATGCACAGATACTTTCCAATTCTACAGAATATTGTCTTAATTAAAAAAAAAAAAAAAAACATATCTAACCCACACTCCTATGCCCATCATGCCTATGCTGTATCTTCAGCAAGTATTTAACACAGACTTTAACTTAGATGTTACTCTTAGCCACCTTTTTTGCCCTTCCAAAGCTTTCTACCACACATGCCAGTCTGCTTGACGGCATGAATTTGAATGACGGTTTCACTTGAATTGCTGGTCGGTGCCCATGGCAGGGAACCAACAACAGTACCTGGTGGGGAGGACGTCCCACGGCCCAAACAGAGTGTGCTGACCACAGCAGGGCTCTTCCTGCCCCCTACTCAAAGGGGCAGAGACTTGACACTGTTGGGACACAACCCCAACA